GCTCGTCCTCATCTCCTTTCCAAAACACTGGTGCTTCCTTTATGCTGGCCAAGAGGGCATCTGAGGTGATGAAGAAAGATTGCCTACTTAAAACTCCTATCTGGTAGGGCAAGACAAGCCAAAACTGACATATACACTGTCGTGTAGCAACTCCATGACGGAGATGTACCTACCACCCAGGGAAGCACAGAAGCAGCGCGGGGCGGGGTAGTGAGCCAGAAGGCTGGAGAGGTATGCCGGGTGGAGAATTGAGGTTGTCCAGGAAGATGTAACTGTGCAAAACAGGCAGGAAAGAGTATGGTGTGTTTAGGGGAACAGACTGTGTGTGTGTGTAGAGGTAAACAAAGGCCAGATCAAGAAGGGCCTTGTATGTCAAGTTTTGGATTTTATCCTGTAGGCAATAGAGAGTGTGGAAGGATTTTAAGCAGGCAAGGGCCACCGTTTTTTTAGGAGTGCAGAAGATGAAGGGGAAAATTGAGATCAGATTTTTTTTTTCTCTAGCCCCTGTACTTCATTCAGTTCGATCCTGTGGAGTCAGGACCTTGGGCATCTGCTAGGACAGCAAGTGCAACAGTGATTACACAAAGTGACCAAACTCTGGTGGGGATGTGATAGTGGGGCGGCTGTGCATGTGTGGGGGCAGGGGGTGTATGGGAACTCTGTACCTGACACTCAAGTTTGCTGTGAACCTAAAACTGCTCTGAAAAACAAAGTCTATTATTTTTAAAAAAGGCCTGGAAATGACTTGAAAGGCAGCTTGGAATAGCAAACGAATACTGGATTTGAAAGTCATACTGCCACATTTCGATTACTCCTCTATTCTTACTAGCTGTGATTTTATTTATTTATTTATTTTAAAGATTTTATTTATTTATTTGACAGAGAGAGACACAGCGAGAGAGGGAGCACAAGCAGGGGGAGTGGGAGAGGGAGAAGCAGGCCTTCCGCTGAGCAGGGAGCCAGATGCGGGGCTCGATCCCAGGACCCTGGGATCATGACCTGAGCTGGAGGCAGACACCTAACGACTGAGCCACCCAGGTGCCCCTAGTTGTGATTTTAAACAAAAACAATTTAACATCTTTGTGCCCGTTTTCATGTTTGTGAAGTGAAGATAGTACATTCACCGTAGAGAGTCCTTTTGGGATTAACAATAATGCAGTCAAGTGCCAGCACATACTATGCGCTTAGTAACTGGTGGCTGATAGTTTTCCTCCGCACAATATGGGCCTGCTTGATTGGACTCCAGGGAAGAAGGAGAAGGGGCCAACCCCTGAAGAGGCAATACAGAAACTGAAGGAGACAGAGAAGATACTGATCAAGAAACAGGAGTTTCTGGAGCAGAAGATTCAACAGGAGCTACAAATGGCCAAGAAGCATGGGATCAAGAATAAGAGAGGTAATGGGGGAGAGGTGCCAGTAGGGTGGGCCCAGGTGGGAAGCAAGGGCTTCTGGCTCTGATGTTCAGGGTGTGTGCTGGGTCAGCCGCCCTACAGGCTTTGCGGAGGAAGAAAAGATTGGAACAACAGCTGGCACAAACCGATGGGACATTATCCACCCTGGAGTTTCAGCGTGAGGCCATCGAGAATGCCACCACCAATGCAGAAGTGCTTCGTACCATGGAGCTTGCTGCCCAAGGCATGAAGAAGGCCTACCAGGACATGTGGGTACGGGGGGAGGGAAGCAGGGGGCCCAGGCGCTGGGGAAAGTAGCTTGGTATTGTACTTTGAATCTTAAAACCTCTCAGAATGTGAATTTACATTATAGACGTGCCTATGACAGCTAGACCTCTGTCGGTCTCTTTGCTTCCTGTAAGATCTCTTTGCTGGCTAAAGCATTATAACAAAGAAAGATGATTTAAGACCCTTCAGACAGGGAAGTGCAGCCTGTCCTCCCCAGTGTGGCTTCTTATCAATCCTCAGGCCAGCCTTGCCTCTGTACAGTTTCCCAGGGACCTCTTCTACCTGATAGCCGGGGATTTATCAGCCTGAGGCCACAGACAGGAGGGGCTTCACTCAGGCAAGACAGGAAAAGTCGGGAGGGTTGTTTCCTGATTTCCTGGCTGTGTATCTTGTTCTCAGGGACATTGACAAGGTGGATGAACTGATGGCTGACATTACAGAACAACAGGAGGTGGCCCAGCAGATCTCAGATGCCATATCTCGGCCTGTGGGCTTTGGAGACGTTGTGGATGAGGTGATTGGGACTGAGAGGTCAGGGAATATGGGAGAAAGCAGGAGGCCAGCCAGAAGGAATGCCCAAGAGAATCATGGGGCAAGTTTGGGGGAGGAGAGGGACTCCAAAAGTGGTATGTTTTGGGAAGTAGAAATTCCCTTTCTTGGGGCGCCTGGGTGGCTCAGTTGGTTAAGCGACTGCCTTCAGCTCAGGTCATGATCCCGGAGTCCTGGGATCGAGTCCCACGTCGGACTCCCAGCTCAGCAGGGAGCCTGCTTCTCCCTCTGACCTTCTCCCCTCTCATGCTGTTTCTCTCTCTCTCTCTCTCTCAAATAAATAAAATCTTAAAAAAAAAGAAAGAAATTCCCTTTCTTCATCTTTTTTTTTTTTTTAAGATTATATTGATTTATTTGAGAGAGAGAGCATGAGATCACGGGAGGGGAGGGGCAGAGGGAGAGGGCAGAGTCCTAAGCGGACTCTGCTGAGCTTGGAGCCCAACATGGGGCTTGATCTCACAACCCTGAGATCAGAGCCCTGAGATCACAACCTGAGCTGACACTAAGAGTTGCAGGCTTAACCAGCTGTGCCACCCAGGCGCCCCTCATTTCTTCATCTTAAACAGTTTTGTTGTTCCATATCCAGGATGAACTGTTGGAGGAGCTAGAGGAGCTGGAGCAGGAGGAATTGGCCCGGGACTTGTTAACTGTGGGTGACAAGGAGGAAGAACCCCCCACTGAACTGCCCAGTGTACCTTCTGCACATCTGCCCGCAGGACCAGGTACTCAGGGCTATTCTATTGTCTTAAGGACTTGAGGAGGTGGAATAGATACGGGGAGAGATTATTCCTCTTACATCCTGCTTCAAAGGAACCAGGCAAAGAGGGCTGCTGCTACCGTTGCACAGGTTATTGACCGTGTAAGGGTACCTGGCTGAACAGGAATGAAGACTAAAGTCCAGCTGTGCCTCATTCGGCAAGCTGGGCACCCTGGTGTAGGGCTACAAGTTCTGGGAGAGAGAAGCACATTTTCTTAATTTGTACAAGGGTTCCCTGGGAGTTAGCAGCAGCCCAGCAAGCAGAAGGACCACACCTTTAGGTTCTTTGCTGGGGAGAGAAAATTCAGCAAACTTTCAGTGTTCTTTTTTTTTTAAAGATTTTATTTATTTATTCATGAGAGACAGAGAGAGAAGTAGAGGGAGAAGCAGGCTCCCCGCAGAGCAGGGAGCCTGATGCGGGACTCGATCCCAGGACCCTGGGATCATGACCTGAGCCGAAGGCAGCCGCTTAACGACTGAGCCACCCAGGCGCCCGACTTTCAGTGTTCTAGCAGGGGATTGTTGGAAGTTGCTACGGCCCTAACATTTCTTCTCTGGGTATCCTTGTCCCTGAAGCTCCTGAAGCAGATGAAGATGAAGAAGCACTAAAGCAGCTGGCTGAGTGGGTATCCTGATAAGTCTGGGCTTGTTTTCCCAGTGCTGCCTTCATTGGTCTCTTTTCCTTAAGTGCCAAGTGCTAAGCTAAAGGAACATAGCCTTTTGGGGAGGTCCTGCTGAGGGTGATAGTGTGACCCTGCCTGAAAAGGTGTTGTCGCCCTCCCCTCCCTGGCTCAACTCTGAAAAAAGACCTTGGTGTGAGAGGAGCCCCTGGGCTCCCTTCTCTGATAGCAGTTACAGTGCCCTTGTTCCCAATAAAATCGGGCAGATGGAACCATACTGCTTATACTGCCTCCTCTACACCTGAAACTCTTCCCTGGCCTTTGGAGCTTTGTTTCAAGCATTGAATCACAATGGGAGTAATGAAGGGAATAACGAAGTACTGGAACAGAGAACAAATGGGAGTTGACAATATCTTGACCTACTATGTTCTAGGTAGGTACTGTTTTATCTTTCAAGTTGGTGTGTCCTAGAGTTGCCTGGTGCTGAGGTTAAGCACAAGTATTATTTATCTTAGACCCATATGGAGCTGTCTCTGAGTCTTCTCTCATTGCTTTCCCCCAATCATGCCTCTGCCAAGACAGCCCCATGATTTACTACTCATTTGCCTTTTGCAAAGCCCATTTTCAAGGACAGGGAAGGAGAATATAGGGATGAAGGAGCAAGTAGCTTTCCTTTATTCAGAACCCACGGTAAATAGGCTTGTTTGAACTGTCTTTTTGGTTTCTTTTTTTTTTTTTTTTTAAGATTTGTTTACTTATTTTGAGAGAGCGTGTGCATACAAGCAGGAAGAGCAGAGAGAGAAGGAGAGAGAACCCCAAGCTGACTCCCTGTTGAGCGCAGAACCTGATTCGGGGCTCAGTCCCACAACCCCGAGATCATGACCCAAGCTGAAACCAAGAGTGAGACACTCAACCAACTGCGCCACCCAGGCACCCTTGCCATTTCTAAGAGCAATCGATGAGGGACCATGATTCACTGGGATTGTTCCAACAGTGGTTAAGGTGGCATCTGGAGAAGGAACCAAGATATTTCACACATCCTGATGCCCATTTCAAAGGGAACAAATAATGCCATCCCTTTGGACTGTAAACAGAGGCAGAGCCATAACCAAATAGCAACCAGGGCCTCTGTCCCACTGCTTGAACATTTAGAATGCACAGAGATGTAAAATAATAAGCATTTACTTAGCCAGAATAATGAAGCTTCCCCAAAGTGGGTGTTTATCCCAGCACCCTCTCCCCCATGAGCCACGTATGAGCTACACTGTGAATTACCCTATTGACTTACAGACATCAAGGTGACTGGTTATAGACTCTGGTTAGAAATCCACCTCTTGGTCTCAGTAGGGTTCCCTGCTAAGGTTCCCCTGAAGAAAGAATGTCTTTGACCCCAGCTGATGAAACTAAATCAGAAATAGATTTATTTTTGGTATAAAGGATTTTTAGCCCCAGACCCTCCTGCTTTGCTCCTCTTCCAATCCCTTCCTTCAACCATTTTTAGGTATTGATTTCCAAGGATTGGTGCCGATTAGTGGTGCTGGAGGGTTGGCACATGGCCTCAAGCAGCCTGATCTCCTGGGTGGGTTGCTCAGGCTGGAACTTGAGCACCCAAGGATCCTTGATGATGTCCAGGATGGTGGCACGCTTGGTGGCTTGGCGTAGCGTCTGGAGGACCAGGTTCTAGGGCAGGGGAAAGAGAGGTCTTGGCTGAGCTCGCCCCCCATTGTGCCACACAGGCAGTGAGCAGCTGGACCTGAGAGAGAAGCAGGACAGCCCATCACACCACTCTGGTGAAAGGGGGTGTGGTCCTGATTTTATCCTGAAGAGCAAGGCATTTAACTCCCTGGAGGAGAGGGAAAGGAAGGGTACCTTGGGGGAAACCTCTTGCATAATCCCTTTCTGGCCTAAAGAGACAGAGGCTGAAACCTGCTTGACTCACATGTAAGGTGCAGAGCCCAGGGGTGGCCCTTTAAGGTCCCTCCCCGCCAACTTCTCTAGGGCAGGGGCTAAAGTGTGAGATGGGTCTGGTGGGAAAGAGCCTCCCCCAGGGTGGGGAGGCCTAGGATGGGTCTTCTCTGCCTGTGGGTCATCCCTGAGGCCTCAGCCCTCCTGGGGGAGCCAGCACCTTGCACTCCTGGGAGATGGAGTAGTTAGATGGAAAAGTGACCTCCTTTTGAGTCTCTTTCAGCAGCTTCTTGAGATTGGTGTCATCAAAGGGCAGCCGGGCGACCACTAGAGTGTAGAGGATGACGCCCATGCTCCAGGTGTCAGACAGGAAAGGGTTGTAGGGCAAGCCCAGCAAGATCTCCGGGCATGCATAAGCGAAGCTGCCACAGTAGGTCTGGCTGAGGTGGTTTGTAAAGCAGTTCGTTTGGCGGTAAGAAGGGCTACTATGCACTGTCTGGTTAGAAGGCACCATCTTGGCGAAGCCAAAGTCTGATATCTTCACATTCTCCCGCTTGTCCAGCAACAGGTTCTCCAACTTTAAGTCCCTACCAGCAGCAGAAAGGCTGGGGGTCAGGCTGGGGAGAGGGCTTAGTATTAGACCGGGAGCTGAAGGGCCAGGGGTCAGAGGCTAGAGATGGAAAAGGCAAGGTGGGAGAGAGGTGCCATTATGAGGATACAAGTAGAGAGGAAAGAGCCATGGAGTTGTGAGCAGAGCCCAAAGGTGAGAGAGGATGGTACCTGAGGACCACAGGGGGCTCGTCATTGTAGTTCAGAGTGCTGTGCTCACAGTGGGTGCTACAGAAACGTTCTTGAGCAGAGAATTAAAATAGAGGGGATGAATGGGCCTAGATAACTGAGGAAGGTCAAGGGAGAAAAAAGAGGGCAGAAAATGGGAAACATGCATAAAACCCCCTTGAGAGCCCAAAGGCCCCAGCCTGGGTGGCAGCGCCCTCACCGGTGCACGATGCCCTTGCTGTGCAGGTAGGCGATGCCCAGGGTCATCTGGGAGAACCACTTGCCAGCAAGGGGCTCAGAACAAGCCCCATATCGCTGGATCCACTCAAGGACATCACCGCCCTGAGCCAGCTCCAGAATGATGTATACTCGGGATGTGGTTTCGATGGCCTGGTAGAAGTTGATGAGGTACTTGTGCCGCAGGACCCTCATGACCTGGCCCCGGAAGAGGGACCCATCAAACCTGGGAAGGGAGAACCCGGGCTGTGCTCCCAGCCCTCCTGCTGTCTGACGGCTAACTTAACTTAGAACTCTGCAAGCGGATTAAACTCCAGAGGGCTGGGTGATCTGTGGGCAAACCCTAGGCTTTGTACTTTTACTTTGTGAGGGGCTGGAGGTGAGTGGGTGGGTGGAAAGAGATTGAATTTACATCAAGTCATTTTCATGCTGCTTAGTGAGACAGTCAGCCCTGCGGGGGTGGGGTGGGGTGGGGGGGCTCTCACTCCACCCCCTCCTAACCACACCCCTTCTGAGAAGTCTTAAGCAGCTTGGTCTCAGTTCCCTTTCCAACCTGTATCTCACGGGGCAGGAACTTGTTAAGATAGTCCTCAGAGGCCTTCTTCTTTGAGATGATCTTGACAGCCACCATGACCTTCTGCTTTGTGTAGTAAGCCTCATACACCGTCCCATAGGAGCCATTGCCAATGACCTTGCCCACCTCGTAACCATAGGCCTCCATGACAGAGCGGTAGGCTGAGGTAGGTGGTGCTACCTCCGAGGTGTCTCCCTTCCCCATGGTGTTGGGCTTGCTGAGAGTAGGGAACTGTGCTACTTCGAAGCCTATTATCTGCTCAGAAAGCCACCTTTGAGCCACTGAGGGCTGGGGTAACAAAGTAAAGTTAGTCTCCAAATGCTTGCCTATATAGTCACGCAAGTCTGGGATGCTGGGCTCACCTCCCCAATGGGAACATGGAGGGGGGAGAAGGGGGCAGCAGTTCTTTTTGTCTCCACTGGCTGTTGTTACTTCTTCCTCCTCCTGGTTACGGAATTCGCCAAGGTCCCATGTTCCGCATACATCACAATTCACGTTCTTTCCACCTTGGGCCACAAGGCTTGAGAATGAAGTGCACAGTGGAACATATTCCTGGAGGCAGCTTCTGTAGTCTGGTGGACCCCCCCCCCCCTCCCGGCCATAGATCTAGTCCCTTCAACCATTCATGTCCATTGAGCACCCACTGTGTGCCAGGCCATGCACTGAGTACTGGGATAAAACAGCTAATAATGCCCACAGAGACCCTGTACTCAGTTTATTATCCAGAATGAGAAACTTGCATGTGAGAATATGACAGAGAACTGCAAGGTGTTGTAGAAGCCTATTCTAAGGAATCTTAACCTTATAATGTTTTTTGTTTGTTTGTCTGGCTTAAAGCAACCACCCTTTTATTTATTCATTTATCTTTTGGCAAGTTGAGCTGTGCTCAGTTGGGTGGTTCTTCTGGTGGTCTCATCTTAGCTGGGTGGTTTGTTTCTGCTGCATATGGTCTCACTATCCAGTGGACTAGCCAGAGTTCCTTCACATAGTAGCAGAGAATTACATGAGGAAAAAAAAAATCAGAAATTGCATGACAGTTAAGCCTAGACTTCAAAATTGCAGAGCATCACTTCCATACCTTTATAAAAATAAAGAGTTTCAAGGTTACAAGGATCCCAGATTGAAGGGGTGGAATAGACTCCACCTGGGAACTCTGAAATGCATTCTTATCTTCCCATGACCCTAAGTTCTGTACTTTTCCTCCTCTCCCTCTAGCCATTCCTCAGACTTCACTGGAGCCTTATCTTCTCTGTCCCTTAATCATATCCGGAAGGTTCTACCACAGGCCTTATTTCCTCAGAGCTTTATGTCCTCCCATTAGGATCTCACCCATTTCCCAACACTTTAGTTATTACATCCATGCTGACTGCTCCTAATCTCATCTCTATCCCAGATGTCCTCTGGAGTTCCAGATCCAGCATCCAGTTGCTTACTGGACATCACATGGACATGTCTCCCTCAGGTATCTTAAACTCACCATGTCCAAAATTGAACTCTCTCTGTTCTTGCCCTAGACTTCCTCTTTTTTTTCTTTTCTTTTTTTTAAAGATTTATTTGACAGAGAGAGCGAGCACAAGCAGTGGGAGTGGCAGGCAGAGGGAGAGGGAGAAACAGGCTCCCTGCCAAGCAAGAAGCCCAATGCGGGGCTCCATCCCAGGACCCCGGGATCATGACCTGAGCCGAAGGCAGATGTTTAACCGACTGAGGCACCCAGGTGCCCTCTGTTGAATTCTATACTCATCTTCAATTTACACACCCAGTCATCCTAGACCCTTCCCTTTGCCTCAGCCCTTACATCCAATCTGTCACCTCTTCTACCTCTTAAAACTATCTTTAATAATACACTCCAGGCTCTTGAAGCGGCTGCCACCACCTTAGGTCAAGCCTCCATCAACTGATCACTCTAGCAAGCCTTCTGCTCCCCTCCAGTCTTCACCCTGAACTCCAAGGCATAACACGGATTTGATTCCCACTTAAAACAATTCAGTGCCTCCCCATCTGCCTCAGGATCAAGTCCAAAATCTTTTTTTTTTTTTTTAAAGATTTTATTTATTTGAGAGAGAGAGGGAACACAAGCAGGGGGAGTGAGAGAGGGAGAAGCAGGCTTCCCGCCGAGCAAAGAGCCCAATGTGGGGCTCGATCCCAGGACCCTGGGATCATGACCTGAGCTGAAGGCAGCCGCTTAATGACTGAGCCACCCAGGCGCCCCAAGTCCAAATTCTTTTATATGGCTTCAACATCTGACCCTGATACGGGGCTCTACCCCAGGACCCTGGGATCATGACCTGAGCCGAAGGCAGATACCTAACGACTGAGCCACCCAGGTGCCCCTAAATAAAATCTTTTTAAAAAAAATATTCAAGCACCTATACCCAAGGATGCTAAAAAAAATCTTAACACTGTGTTAAAATCATTGTGTTTTTAACCTCAGTTGGACCCCCAAATGCTGCCCAGTGATCCTGCTCATTTTCCAGATCAGCTCACTTCCATTCTCCACAACCTATTCTTCTCAAACCTCTTAACTTCATCTCCCTCTTCTGGTCAGTTGACCTCCCTTACAGCCCTAATGGGAGATGCGAGCAGAAAAAACACAATTACAGACACTACGTTAGATGCTGTGACAGAAAGTACTGGGGCTCTGGGAGCACCCAGAAAGGAGGAACATCCAGTTTGGGCTTGAGCAATCAGTAAAGGTGTCCTTAAAACAGCTCATGAGATAAGTTCTCAAGGAAGAGTAGGGGTTTGCCAAGACAGAGGGAACAATGAAGGAAAAGTAATTCTCTTTGGCCGGAGCATTGCATGTATGTTAAAAGATAAAACTGGGGGCGCCTGGGTGGCTCAGTTAGTAAGCGTCTGCCTTCAGCTCAGGTCATGAACCCAGGGTCCTGGGACTGAGCCCTGCCATCAGACTCTCTGCTCAGCAAGCCTGCTTCAATTTATTTATTTGACAAAGAGGGAGAGAGCACAGCAGGGGTAGCAGCAGAGGGAGAGGGAGAAGCAGGCCCCCTGCTGAGCAGGGAGCCCCATGTGGGGCTCGGTCCGAGGATCCTGCTAGAGGGATTACCTGGATTTAAGACTGTGTGTGTGCAGGGTGGGGGATGGCACGCAGGGGAAAGAACAAAAGAAGAATCACATTTTCTATCTTCCAAAAAAACCAACTCCAACAACAGATTGTGCCGTAGGCTACTGGTAAATTCCTGTTTATTGACAGCCTGCTGATCCTGCTGGCAGGGTAGTTCCAAAGTTTGTTGTAAGCTAGATCTACATTCTCAAACTGCCAAGATGAGTTGTCCAGGACACACTGTGGTAAGGAGGCCCACCCTGCCCCGCCCATCTTCTGCTCCTCTGGATAGGTAGCTTGGTGGCAGCTCTGTCCTCATCATGTTCAACGGGTAAACCAGTTTATTCAAAACACGTGTATTAAGCTGCCTACTTTATACAAAAGCACTGCTAAGTCCTGAGGATATCAAGTGGATAAATTACAGTCTTCCTGTGAGTAGTTAGTAATGAGCAAGGAAAACAGACACATAAGTAGTAAAATAACAGTACGGTGAGATAAAGTGCTATAAACAAAGACTGGAAGATGTAGAGGCAGGCTTTATAGAGGAGGCATTTGTACTGTTCAAGAGGGGTCTCCAGGCAGGTAAGTAGGGGATGGTAGATTGGGCAGTCTAGGCCAAAGGAACTATATGAGGCTTGCAGGCTTGAGAGAACATGACATTCAAGCTTCTAATTTGAATACAATTAGTGTACCTGGAGAAGTAATAAAGATCCAGGTCTGACAGGCCTCATATACCAAGCTTTTTAGAATTTATCCTATGTACTCATGTTCAAATTTTGGTCAAAATAGTCAAAGTCAGAGCCTCTTAAAAAATGATGCCTAGTCACCTCCTCCTCTAAGATCCTGATGTCGTGGACCCAGATCTCCATGTTTTTAATAAGCTTCTAGCTGAATCTGATGCACACCAAGATCTGAGCACCACTGTTGCAGAAAACAGTATATATAGTGTATATATGTATGAATCAGCAGCAGAGTGGAAAATGGATCCAAGAAGGGAGGTGACCAGGAGACTAGCAAGGTGGTTGTCATGGTAATTTAGGTGCGAGAGGATGAGACCCGAAGCTAGGCAGCTAGGGAGTGCAAGTATTTGGAAGATATTGAGGAAGTAAGCAGCAGGGGGGCTTGACAGCATTGATCAGAGGAGGCGGGGAGTTGGGACGGGGGAGTAAGTGAGAAAGAGTCCCAGGTTTCTGGCTTCTCTTAAGTTACTTTTCTAATTACAAAATTCACTGATTTATCTAAAAAACTCAATCCCCTACTTCCTAGAACCTCACCTCCTCCTCCTGCAGGGAGGAGGGCTGGGTCAGAGAGGGCAGAAGAAGGTAAATGGAGGACTTTTCAGGTCAGAAGCCAGTTAAGATTTCCCCTGTACTGCTTTCCCCGGGGAAAGGGAACCTTAAGTCTGCATCCTTACATGTTGCCCCCAGGTGGCCAAACGGTAGTCACTGCCCCTGGGTCTGATCTTTAAAACTCCCCTAATGGCAGATCCCCTTAAAGTAGCGAGACAAATAAGGGCAAACTTTTCCAGAGTAATCTGCAATAGAAAATTAAGAAAAGCCCGTACACATACAGATAAATACGAACAAAAACATCGAAAGAGTCGAACGTATGTCAAGATTCTTTACCTGCAAGTAACGATAACTCTGTCAGGCTGCCCAATTCACCGAATAAAAGCGCTGACACCCTGTCTGTCTGCGTGCCTCCGCACCAGACCTAGCTCAGGCTTGCCTACGTTCGAACATGGGACGGTCATTATAAGGCCAGGGAGGCCTCCAATGCAGCCTCCGGAAGAATTTTTATTCACGTATTTATTTTTCGGCGGGAGACCATTCGTGACGGGTCAAGAGAAGCAGTGAGGTGAGATCCCGACTCCAGGACCCTTGCATGGACTGTGCCCGGGCTGTCCTAGCATAGAGACGCCCGAAGCCTCACTCACCCCCGCCCGGGTTGGGGGCCATGGATCGCCTCCCAGAGCTCGCCCTCTGCAGTCGGTGGCGAGTCCCACTGGTTCAGCCGGCAAATGCTCCGGGGCGTCCACTAGGTGTGGGCCCAGCCACCAACCGGGGTCCGTCTCCTGGACAGTCACTGGACGCGTGCGGCGGGCAAGGCTCCCCGGCTTCCGCCCGTGCCCCAAGTCTTCCCGGGGGGCGGCGGCCGGCGCCTCTCACCCCGAAGGGGCGTCCGCGGCCTCGCAGCCAGGCCTCAGCCGTAGCCCCGGCCGGAGAAACCGTCGGCGGAGCGGCGTCCCGGCAGCCGCGGCGGGGGCGTGGTCCCCTCTCGGCTCCAGGAGAGGAGCTTTCCGCCGGGCTGAGGTCCCCGCGAGTGAGGCGGAAGTGGTAAGACTGACGTGTCCTGGGCTGCTCTGCAGATCGCCGGGAGGGCCCCCCGCTGGGGGTGGGGGGTGGGGGGCGGGCTAGCCGAGCCTTGCGGGCTCTCCGGAGCTGGGCCGGCCTCCCGGCTGGAGAAAGCTCGTCGGGGAGCACCTCACTAAGCCGAGTGCGGCCGCAGCCTCTGTGATCAGGCACCGCGGCGGACAACCCCGTGGAGGTCGGGCGTCAGGTCCTCTCCGGGCCGCCGCTAGCGCGCCGCTCTGGGGGAAACCCGGGCAGGAGCCCAAGGGCAGCTACGGGGCCGCAGAGGCCGCGGGCGCCGTCTCGGCCAGCCCTACCTGAGCGGTGAGGACCCCGCGGATGCCGCGGGAAGGTGCTGGAGGTGCGAGGCCGCGTGGCGTTGCCATGGAAACGGGCTGGGGCGCGCGGGGAGGTCCCGGGCAGGCGGGCTGCGGGACGGGGACCCCAGATCCAGAAGACGAGAGAGCAGAGGCGGACAGAGGCAGTATTGTGTGGGGGTCGGGGGCGGCCTTCCGAGGGAGGGTTCGAGAGGCCACGGGGAGAAATTGGAGCTATGGGGCTTCGTTTCAAAGGACCTGACCTGGGGCGTCAGGAGTTGACCCCTGGTTTTCATAACTGCAGGATTCCCTCAAACAGGTTTCACTGCCTTAAGGATGACAGTCCTAGGGCACCCGCCGAGTTGGAGCTGCCAGTGGTTGCCATTCCTGATACTGCTGCTGGGCACAGGCCATGAGCCAGGGGTGGAAGGTGTGACACACTACAAGGCCGGTGACCCCGTCATTCTGTATGTCAACAAAGTGGGACCCTACCACAACCCTCAGGAGACTTACCACTACTATCAGCTTCCGGTCTGCTGCCCTGAGAAGATCCGTCACAAAAGCCTTAGCCTGGGGGAAGTGCTGGATGGGGACCGAATGGCTGAGTCTTTGTACGAGATCCGCTTTCGGGAGAATGTGGAGAAGCGAATTCTGTGCCACATGCAGCTCAGTTCTGCACAGGTCAGCCTCTCCACATTGGCGAGCATTTAGCCCTCCCTTCCAGGGACTAATAACAGTGCCTTCTAATTCATGGTTTTATAGCACCTCTGTGGAAATGATCTGACTTGATTCTAACGCCAACCCCACTGGTA